TCTATCTATCTATCTATCTATCTATCTATCTATCTATCTATCTATCTATCTATCTATCTATCTATCTATCTATCTATCTGATTGTTGGGGGAGTGTAACAACTTGTCCCCTGTTGTGTATTACAACAGGGGAGAGTCACAGAACCCCGACACACGGCGACCGTCGTAAGTACACGCCAGTTGCCAAAGGGTCTGAATTTTGATCCCCCCCCTGACTAAATGGAACGATCTCTCTTGGGGGTCTGAATGGGAGGAATCAGCAGGCAGGTGCTCCACTCAACGACGGCGACGGACCCCGGAATGACAGTAGTTGGCGACGGCTTTTCTCACAAGGCTTTTTTTTGCCCCCCCGCAGGCCTCTTCGGGACGGAGAACTGTTCGAAATCGTGATCCAGAAGATGGTGGATCGTTGGTCCGGCTCCATTGAAGCAGGTGGGGGGGGGGAGAAAGGGATTGTGGGAGGGGGGCTTGGGAGGGGGCAGTGGGATGGCTGTCCTTAGCACTTTTGACCTCCTCCTCCTCCTCCTCCTTCCGTGCAGGAGTCACTGCAATCCGTCCCGAGGACCTGGAATTCCCCAATACGATGACGGACATCGACTACGATAGCTGGATGCTCAGGTAAGGGAGGGGGGGAGGACCGGGGGGGGCGGGGGAAAGAATGAGAATTAAATCTTTTAACAGTTTGAAGACCCAGTTTGGTCTAGAGGGAAAGGCACCAGCTAGAAAGCAGGAGGCGGGGAGTTCTAGTTCTGATGTAGCCATGAAAACCAGCTGGGTGACCTTGGGCCAGTGAGTTCTAGTCCCGCCTTAAGCATGAAAGCCAGTTAGGTGACTTTGGGTGAGTCACCAGGAGACAGGGAGTTCTAGTCCCGCCTTACGCATGAAAGGCAGCTGGGTGACTTTGAAGCAATCACTAGGAGACAGTGAATTCTAGCCCCACCTTAAGCATGCAAGTCAGCTGGGTGACTTTGGGCCAGTCACCAGGAGACAGGGAGTTCTAGTCCCCCTTTAGGCATGAAAAAAGGCTGGGTGACTTTGAAGCAATCACTAGGAGACAGGGAGTTCTAGTCCCGCCTTAAGCATGAAAGAAGGCTNAGTTTGTTCTCCAAAGTAAATTGGAAGTCAGGACGACGAATGGAAACTGATCAAAGAGGGAAAAGGAACCTGGAATTCAAGAGACAGCGAGGACAATGAACCCGTGGAACAGCTGGCCACCAGAAGGCTTGGGTGGTTCTCCAACCCTGGGCTAGGGTCTCTTTGAGCAGGGGGTTGGACTGGAGGACCTCCAAGGTCCCTTCCAACTCTGAGAAAAGAGGGACGCCCGTAAGACAGGAAGACTACCTCCCCCCAAAAAATCCAGGAAAACAGGGGAGATAGGTGGGGAGTAGGTTCAAATTGGGGGGGGGACACACAACCTTCCCCCCCTTTTGCAGATTTCTTCTTGGAATATTTAGCTGCTCAATCAGATTGGTGTTTTTGTCACAAAACTCAAATTTTTGAGTTTTGCAGTGAAATTCCGGCATTCGTTGTGACTCCGGGAGAGTTCGGGGTGAACATCGCGCGCCGTGAATGGGACGGCCTTTTAAGAGGGGGTGGGGGGCTCAAGGGTGGGTCACGCCCTCCTTCCTCCCTTCCTCCCCAGATCTCCTCCCTCTTCCCGACGATCTCTCGGAGGGGAACAACCAGCTCTCCCCCAGCAGCCCCTCTTCTGCGGCTTCGGGGAGCGACCTGCGGTTCCACCACCTCCACGGGAACAACGCCGTCATCACCAACGGCGGGCGCACAGCCCTACGGCAGAACTGCCGCAGCGAATTCAACGACGCCATCGTCATCTCCAACCGGTCAGTGAAAAGGAAAGAGAGGGTCCGAACCGGGCTTGGGGGCGGGTCCTCCACTTAACGACCACCGCCGAGCCTTTGCTTGCCGCAGCGGTGGTGAAGTTATTTTAACGTGTTGGTTCGGTGTCCCTCAACCCCATTTTGCGACCTTTCTGACCAACGGTCAGGAAGGGAATCGAAACCAGTGGTTGAATTAGTCGCACGGTCGTTAAGTGAATCAGGCTTTCCCGTTGGCTTGTCGGAGGGTCGGAAAAAGGGCCCCAGGACACATCAACCGTCATAAATACGAATCCATCTGGTTTTTCTTCCTGGGGATGGTGTGAAAAGTCTCCTTTTTCAGCGCCGTGGTAACTTCCAGCGGTCGCTAAAGGAACTGCTGTAAGTCGAGGCCTGCCTGTAGTTATTTGTGGAAGCGAGTTACAAAGTCACCCACCAGTTGTGACCCTGGTTGGCTTAGGAAATTGGGGGGGTGGGGGGGAAACCACATCATACAGGCAGTCCTCAACTTACGGCCACAATTGAAAATTCATGTTTCCAAGCGAGGCATTTACGAAGTGAGTTTCGCCCCGTTTTCCGACCTTCCTTGACACGGTTATTAAGTGAATCACTGCATTTGTTAAGGTAGAGCCGAGGTGGCGCAGCGGTTAGGGTGCAGTACTGCAGGCCACTTCAGCTGACTGTTATCTGCAGTTCAGCGG